CAGAGTCGCTAAATAGGACTCGAACCGAACGTGTGACCCCACCGATGGATTGCTCGTTCGGAGAGCAATCCATTGATGGGGTCACACACTCAGTTTGAGTCCCATTAAGTGACTCTGGAGCTCAAAAACGCGTCTAGAGTTTTGGCCCACTGTGCGCCCGGTCGGCGAGCCGTTCCATTCCGTTCCGTTCGTGCGGGCTGTGAGTTATGGCCACGCCGCTGATCGGGAGCCGCCGCCCCGCCGCCCCGCCGGCCGGTCGAGAACACTGGGCTGGGCACCACTGGGCGCCCCGCGGGGTCCGGCGATTGCGTTCGCGTTCGGCGCGATGCATTTCGACTTGGCCGGACCGCGCGCCCCAGGAGTGTTGTTGAGCCTGTCCGGCGCGGATCGCGGACGGTTCGCCGGGGAGAATTCCATTGGAAGGCGATCTCTGGACGGGTAGCGGCGCCACACCCCACCCCCTTCTCCTCCTCGAGGCCCGCCCGTCGCGCGGCATTGGATTGTTGCACGAGTTTATTTCGACGTGCCGTCCGAGCGGAGCCCAGCCGGGGCGCGGTGGGGCGCGGCGGGGCGCGGCGGGGCGCGGCCGTAGCCTCGCGCGAGGGAGCCGTGCCGTCGCGCGGAAGGGAAAGGGTTGGAAAGGGTGCGAGTGGCTCTTAGGAATGCCTGGGGCTTTGCCACGGAATGGGGTATAGGGCGCGGGGCGAGGTGGGACGGGGCGGGGCGGGGCGGGGCGGGGCGGGGCGGGGCGGGGCGACATCCTGGCGGCATTCCTCACTCGTTGTTCGCATTCGACGGATTTCTCTGACCGTATAATTAAATACCATCTCGCCTGGAAAAGGCGGCGAAGAGAATTCCGGGGGGTTCTTTACTCCCTTTAATATGGCGGCAGGCATCGTCTCGCCTCGCAGCGCGGCGCTGCCGGCCCGACGACCCCGTCTTCATTGTGAGGTGTGATTGCTCGCCGCTCGCTGCGCTATTTCTCCGGGAGATGCTGCCACACTGCCAAAGGCCGACATCGAGCAGCGAGGCAGCGAGACAATGGCTTATCGGCAACGCCATTTGTTGGACTGGTCCGGACGCCCGCCGCGGCCCTGAACGCCGCGCTCCTGAACCAACGCCCCGCCACGCCCCGCCATGCCCCCCGGGCCGACAGGCTGGGGCTGGGATTGGCCGCATCTCGCCAGGGACGGCACTAAATCACTCACTGCTCACTGTTTTTGCCCTAAACGGCCCCCGAGTTTGCTTTATTTCTTTTCTCCGCCACGGCCACCACCACCACCACCACCACCACGACTACCACGACCAGGGCCAAACACGAGCCTCGGCTCACTCAGACCAGCTTCCTGCAACGCCAGGGCGGATCCAGAAACGGTTTCAGGGGGGAGTGTGGGAAAAGTTGCCTACAGTGCTACTTTTTGGCTGCGGCGCCGGAGCGGTCTGGGGCATCTGGGGGCGAGCGACTGAGCGACGCGCTGCCGGCCTCGCTGACGTTCTCCGATCACTGTGCGCGGCCTGCGATATAAACAACGTCAGAAATTCGATTACTGTCCAACTCCTCGAAGGCTTTCAAAATCTCATGAAAACTTGATCCCCCGCCCGACGTCCCCCGCCAAAGTGAAACATCATTGACGCTCCGCCCCGCTCCGACCACGCCGGGGCCGAGCAGACGCTGCAAGAAGACGCCGCGCTGCACTTAAGGGACAGCCTTGCGCAAAAAAACAACAAAAAACCGCCACCGCACAACAACAGCAACAGCAACAACAACAACAACAACAACAACAACCAACGGCCGGCACGAGGCCACTTTGGCCGCCCCGTTTTTGTTGTTGTTTATGTGGACGCTGCATGGCCGCGAAGGCCGCCAACGCCGCCAAGGCGCGCGGCTTGCCGCGGACCGCACGCCGCGCTTCGTTCCGCCCTTCTTTATGTGCCTCGCGAGGTTTATGTCGGCTGCACTGCGAAAAAGGCAAGGCTGCTGGAAAGGGAGTCTAGGAGCCGCGGGCGTTTTTTGCCCCTCCAGTACTAGCGGGCTTGCCCACGGCTGGCCCGCGCTGGATCTGGCGATCTGGCCTCCTCCGGTCGTGGGGCTCTCTTGTATCTGGACTCGGCCCCACCCCAACCCGTCGCCCCCGCCCCCGCACAAGAACCCAATCCGCCAGGCGGGCATCTCCCCTCTCGGTCGCACCGCCGCGCCGGGCCGGGCTCTCCCCTCCCCGGTCCTCTCACTCGCACGATCCTCGTGGTTTATGAATGACCCCACAGGCAGACCTGGCAGGCCGCCTTGTAGAGCGAGCCCAGGGGGCGAGGCGTGCCGGGGCGGGGCGGGGCGGGGCTGGGCGGGGCACGGGGCGATCGAACCTGGCGGCGCGCGGGCCGGCCTGTGTGTCCGTGCCCGCCTGACCATGCGTGTTGCCTATCATGCGCTGGGGACGCGGTTAGGGTGGCCAGACTAGCAGGCAGGCACGCAGCCAGGCACGCAGGCCACTCCGCCGCCCACGCTTTGGTAGCGCGGCCGGGATATTGGCGCAAAACGACTGCACGGGGAGGCAAGAGCCCGAAAACCCTTTCTTTTTCTCCTCATTTTGAATTCTTGTCTCGCTTTCCAAAGTTGTAGGCGATTTGCCTCTCCCTCCGCTTCGGCTGCCTTCGCGAACCCGACCCCCGCCGACCCCTCCCAGTTTACGCCCCCTTTCCTTTGTTTTCCTTTGCGCTCTCGCCTCCCACCAGTGTTCTCCTTTCGAACACATTCGACGCACACCCGCACACACACCCTCGCACACACACCACCCACACATGCACGCACTGGTCGCTCTTGATTCCCCCGGTCGTGCAGAGATTGCCACTCGGGCCTGCCTGGTCTCCAGAGCTCCTCCAAGATCCCCCCTCTGCTCTTGCTGCCCTGCCCGTCCGCCGCCCCTGCCGTGCCGCCCCCGCGCGCTGCCGGCTCGGGACCGGATAGTGCTCGGAGCATGCAGGCGACGCAGGCGGGGATGTGACACGGGTCTTCGCACCCAATACCCTGATCAATTCCACTTCCTGCTGCGAGGGCCACGGAGAACGCCCTGGAAACGCCCCGGAGAGGTCCTGGTGAGATCGCAGAGAGGCCTTAGAGTGTCCTGGAAGGGTCCTGGAGAAGTCCTGGAAACGATTTTGAGGCGCGACAGCCCCCTGCTGGACTGCTGTGACAAATGGCGGATGGCGGGCCGGGTCGGCCTCCTCTCGCGACCTCAACCCGAGCGGGCCGCGGGGCCCCGCGGGGGGCTCGGCTGGCGACACCTTCTTGACGAATGCTTTCATAACTTCTTCCTCAGCCTTTCCGACAGTGTGCCTCCTCCCCCTTCCCCCTCGCACATGAGGCCAGAAGACCGGTGGAGGCGGTCAAAATCCCGGACGGGTTTGGAGCTCCAGAGTCGGTAAATGGGACTCGAACTGAACGTGTGACCCCATCAATGGATTCCTCGTTCAGAGAGCAATCCATTGGTGGGGTCACACGTTCAGTTCGAGTCCTGTTTAGCGACTCAGGAGCTCAAAACGCGTCTAGAGTTTTGGCCGCCTGGCCCTCTGGCACACTGCGCAGCGTGATCCCGGGCGGCCTAATCGTCACCCTCCGCACCTCCCCGAGCGCCTCCCCGAGCCCCTCGGCGCGCACTATCGCCACGCTCCCAGGGCCCTCCAGTGGGCCCGTTCCGAAACAGCGCCTCGTCGCTCCGTCTCTCTCGCACTCGTGGGGCGTCCCGTGAGGGTGCGAGAGAGACAGAGCGACGAAGCCGGACGAAGCACAGTCTCGGACGCAACCTGCAGGAGCTTCTAGGCCGCTGTCCCGGCCGGCGCCTCCCCACCTGCCTCCCCCCTATCTTGATCACCGGCAGCCTTTCGGCAAACCTCCCTCGCCCCACCGCCACTTTTCAAATCCCTCCACTCCACTGCCGCAGCGGCGCGCAGCGGGTATGATGACCCACAAGATTTTCGTAAAGAATTCGTGCCTCCGCGGAATCAGAATCTGGGTTTTCTTTGTTGTTTATCTGACTGACTCGACAGAAGTGTTTGTCGCCGAGGCATAGAGTCGATCTCCGCTTGACTGCCCTCATTCAAGGCGCGTTATAAAAGACTCCCATTTAACTTTCCTCGGCTTTTGAGCCCCACTCCTCGCGACTCCGCTATTCACTTCTGTCGCGCCGCGTCAGTCGAACAACAACAGCAACCAGTCTTATTGCCTCAACGACTTGCTTTCACGGCGCCACGTTTACGGCAACCGGACCAACTTAATTTCAGCGTAATTTCCGTCCCGATTTGTGATTACATTTGACGGATTCGCGGCCCCGGCTCGAGTGGCAGGACGTGGCGAGCGGGGCCGGCAGTCGGCCTGATGGGGCGCGCCGGGCAACGCAGCAGCAAACGCACAGCACGGCGCCAGTGGCCTAGTTGCCGTCGGCGGCTGGAGTGCAGTACAGTGGAGGAGAGGCAGCAAACTCATCCCTGGTAGGTCTCTCTCGCACTCACGTGGCATCCCGTCCCGTGGGTGGGTGTGAGGGAGATAGGAGCAGAGGGCCCGCCGGGCCAGGACTCGCACTTCGGAATCAGCCCGCTGCGTAGTTAGTGTGCCGAGTGCAGTCCCCCGGCAGCACAACGTGAAAAAACGACGGGATGGCTTTGGCCAAACCCTCCCCCTCCCCTCCGGAGCCGCCAGCGCGCGCCAGCGCCAGAACCAATTCCCCCAATATTCCCCGTTTAGCGGCGCGTCGCCCGCCCCGTTCCCGATAAGTGGAGCCTTGTTGCTGTTTTTGCCGTTGTTGTTTTTGCTGTTGTTTCCGACTGCTGGTTCTGATTCCCCGCTGTTTCCCTTGTCGCAGGCGGCGGAGAGGGCCGAGAGGGCCGAGAGCCCGGCGGAGGTGCGGCGGGGCTCCGTGGAGGTGTCGACCAGGGACTCGGGCTGGACCTGGGGCTGCGCGGGCTGCGCGGGCTGCGGCCGCCACCGCCACGGCGGCGTGGGACTGTGCCGCGCGCTGCGCCGCGAGGCCAACCTCAAGTGCCTCATGCTGACCCTGCTCATCCTGGGCTGCTGCGCCGCCGTCACCTGGTGCAGGCTCGCCGAGGTCACCCGGGTGAGTGGCGCACAGTGGGCCAGAAGACCGGTGGAGGCGGCCAAAACTCGAGACGCGTTTTGAGCTCCAGAGTCGCTAAACAGGACTCGAACCGAACGTGTGACCCCACCAATGGATTCCTCGTTCGGAGAGCAATCCATTGGCGGGGTCACACGTTCGGTTCGAGCCCCTTTCAGCGACTCTAGAGCTCAAAATGTGTCCGGGATTTTGACCACGGCCCACTGTGGTCGGGACGGAATAATGCGCATTGCGGACTCTCCCTCCGCGCCGTGACCTTGACCGTGACCTTGACCCTGACGATGCCGTTGCAGGTGATGCTGCCGCGCCACCGGCTGTCCTCGTCGGGCACGCCCTGCGAGGCGGGCTACCTCTACATTCCAGTGTGCTTCCTGGCGCTGCTGTACCTCGTCTACCTGGCCGAGTGCTGGCACAGCCGGGCGCAGCTGTCCCTGCAGGGCCACGCGCAGAGCCTGGCCGAGGTGCTGCGCTTCGTGCAGCAGATGCGCGCCGCCGAGCCCGTCGTCTGGTGAGTGCCGCGCCTCGTCGCTCTGTCTCTCTCGCACTCGTGGGGCGGCCCGAAGGTGTGTGTGAGAGAGAGAGCGGTCCAAGCGTGGCTCGGAATCTGCACAGCAGTGAGCACGAGGAAGCGAAGCGCTTTGCGTTCAACTACCGGAGCCCTTTGCCTAGCAGCCCGGCGCCCACAAACCACACCACTTCCTGTTGACCAGCGCATTCCTCGAGCATACCAGCCCGTTGGGTCGGGTAGAAGCCTGGCGCCTCATCACTCTATTCCCTTTCAGGTGTGCCTCGTGATAGCAGGAAACCGCACACAACAGTGTGGCAGGCCAGGGCAGGGCGAGGCCCGGCAGGGCGGGGTCGGGGCGGAGTAACTTTAACTTCCCAGCCATCACTAATGCAGCGTCCCTCAAAAGTAAGACCCGCCGCTCCCGCGCCGCGTCCGGAATGGCTTCCCCCTCTCTCTTTCTTTTTCCCGAACGCGCGCCCGGAGGCCGCCTCCCTCCCTCTCTTTCCCGCACACGCGCACGGCCTCTCGTTTCTTTAATTTCCGGGCCGCTGTTATGAGGTGCTAGACCAGGGCCATCAGCGCGTGATGGTGGAGGAGTGCGGGCCGCGGCGGCCGTCTGTGTGCCCAGCTAGTTAGGGGCCAAGTTTGGCGTGCGGCATCCAGGCCATCCAGGCCATCCAGGCCGTCTCGGTGTGCCGGCGTGCCGTCTGCCGAGCCGTGCCATTCCGTTCGAGGCGACCAAACTGGCAGTAAGCCTCGACATGACCGCAAGAAAGGGACGGGAAGGGGGTGCGGAAGGGGGAGGAGAGGGGGGAGGAGAGGGGGGAGGGCAGGGAAGGGAAGGGTCCCCGTCGTCGTGGCGCCACGACGGCGGTCCCCCTTCCCCTAAAACCCGCATCTGCCCTCCGCAACCCATCCGCAATCCCGATTCTCACGGTCACAAACTCGCCCGGGCGCCCCCTTCCCCCCCTTTTTTCATATTTCCGTCCTTTTTCATCTCCTTTTCTAAAATGAATGAGACGAGCTGAATAATGATGCAGAGGCCGCGGCATGGCGGCACAGCGCGGCGCAGCGCGGCGGCCCCAAAAAGTAACTTAATTCACGCACAACTTTTTCCGCGGCGAAAAAGTCGCTCTCGTTTTGGCGGGGCTGGGCTGGGCTGGGGGGGAAGGGGGGGGGGGCGGATGCCGCCGAGTCATCGGGCCGGAGAATCGGGAACTGGAGGCGGCGCGCGAGGCGAGGCACGGCGAGGCACTGCGAGGCGATGGAGCCGTCCGACGGAGACGTAGTCGACGTAGTCACCGAGCGAGCCGATATCGGGCTCAATCAATTTGTCTGCATGCCAACCTGCTCGCTTGCATTCCGCCTCCCCCCCACTCTTCTTCCTTTTGCCCCCCGAGACGCCCCCCGCGTTCAAGATTTAAGACCTCGCTCTGCGATGAATGAAGCCCACGCAAGGCGCGGTAAAACATTAATGATCCGGAGACAAGCGTTTTACTGCCGTCGATCTGAACGCCTTTTTGTTTCGCCAAGTAAGGGAGAGGTCGTTTCGCAGAGCGGCGCCGGTCGGCGCTCCGGCAACCGGGTGCTACGGCGGGGACGCTGCTCTCTCTCTCTCTCTCTCTCTCTCTCTCTCTCTCTCTCTCTCTCTCTCTCTCTCTCTCTCTCTCTCTCTCTCCCTCTCTCCAGCACCCTCTCGCACTCCAAATAATGAATTAGCGGCTAAACTACACAAAGAATAATCCCCGAGTAGCGCTGCTCGCAGCTCGAGTCCCAGATACTGCTGGCGCCCGGCAGCAAGGCGGCCCCGCACTGGAAGTCAATCTCTCTCCCTCGCACTCACGGGGCGTACCGAGGCACCGCCTGGGTGCGAGAGAGACAGAGGCCTTCCGCTCGGAAGCAGCGTGCTGCCCCGGTGCCCCCTTGCCGTGGCCTTTCCGCGGCAGAGCGGCGGCACGGCGGCACGGAGTGGGGCCCCACTGCGGGGCATCAGGCGGGCGTTAGTGCGTGACGTGAGGGAGGTGGAGGGGGAGGGGGCTGCGGAGGGATCAGCGGCGTGGTGAGTGCGAGAAAGACGGATGCGGTGAGCGGGGCGTGCGGTGAGCGCCGAGCACGTGCCGCTCACCGCAATAAATCTATCGCACTCACCCGCGCACGCACTCACGGCCAACGACGTGGGAACACGACGCAGGCCATCTCTCTCGCACACCAACACTCTCTCTCTCTCTCTCTCTCTCTCTCTCTCTCTCTCTCTCTCTCTCTCTCACACACACACACACACACACACACACACACACACACACACACACACACACACACACTGCGGCAAACACACGCACGCGCAGCAGGGTCGTTTCCCGGCTTGAGATTCCACGTGGAAGAAATCATCTCCACCCTTTCCAACCCATCGGAGACGCCTCCCCCCCCCCTCGCCCCCCCCCCCCTCTCCTCGGCCTATATCCCTTTCCCGGCCCGCCGTGCGCCGTGCCTCCACACGTAAGAAGATCAGGGGCTCTCTCGGCCGCGCGGCGCGCCGGCGGGGAGAGATATAGGAAATGGCGCAAAAAAGAAGAAAGAAAGTAGAATGGAGAAACTCGATGGGGGGAAAGCAGCTTCCCTCCTTATTTTCGACTTACTTGTGAAGTGGCATAAAGAAGTAGTTTGTGGACACGCCCCAGATAGCTCGCGGCCTGGCGGGCTGGCGGCCTCTCTTCCCCCACGTGCTCCCCACCTTGCGGCCGCCTCGCTCCGCGCAACGCCCAGCCCGACGGCCTGTTTCCTCTTTCGCTTCCCTGTGCCGGCCTTCGTCTGCGCCGTTCACTGCTGGATCATTCCCGGGAAGCGGCCGGGAAGTTGCTTCGTGCGCCGAGGTCGCCGAGGTAGAGAGGAAAGTGGAGGCAGCTCATCGCAGCGAGGACAGCCGGCCGGCCGGGCCGGGGGCAACGGCGGAATGGCAAACAAGTGCACAATGGCCAATTTGTAGCGGAGTGTGTTCGTTGTTGGTTGTTGGTTCTCAAGCGTGTTCTTCTCTCTGCCGTGCCCCAGGTGGAAGGCCGTGTGCTACCACTACGTGCGGCGCAAGCGGCAGGTGACGCGCTACCGCCACGGTGAGGGCTACACCGCCACGCAGGTGTACTACGAGCGCGTCAACACGCACGCCGCCGCCTCCGAGTTCCACGCCGCCACCTGCGGCGTCCGCGACATCTCCAAGGACCTGGTGCTGGACCCGCCGGCGCCCGTCACCCGCATCCGCTTCAGCAAGGGTAAGCAGCGCCGCAGTAGTATGGACGCCCCATTGTCGCGGGCCGCCACTCCCAGTCAGTCATCGTCCAGCCAGCGCGCCCGACGAGGCCGGGATAGGCACTCCGCCGGAGTCCGACGCCAACGTGTTGCCTACTCCGTCCTCGCCGGGCGCTCGCTCCAGTGCTGCCAGCAGTGCTGCCAGCGCCAACCCACACTCCACTCTGCTGACGGGGGCAACCCTGCCGACAGTCAGTGTGCTCACACACGCGTGTCGATATTTCACCATGATGGAGATGCTTGTTCTCCGCCGCTTGTGTGCCCGTTTGCCTGTCGGTCTGTCTGCCTGTCTGTCTGTCTGTCTGGCTGTTGGCGTGACAGTCCGGCCGTCCGCCCGGCTGCTCAATCATCCGGCCGCCCGAGACCCCTCTATCCGTCATTGCCTGTCCAGGCCCCACGGCTTAACAACTCCCCCCCCCTCCCCGCGGAAAAGTTTTGGAAGCTGAAAACCCGAGTGTAACGCTTGCGGCCAACGTCCCCCTCGGCGCCACGGTCACCACGGCAATGGCGGGCTGACAGCACCCAGTGGCGGAGGGCGGGCCGCCCGGCGGGGCAAAGGCGGCGCCTTGGCCCCCTTACCCTTTGCCGTCTGTGGGCAGCGCGGCGCGGCGCGGCATGGCGTGGCGCGGCGTGGCGCGGCATGACGCCAAGGGCCGCCAAAGGGCGCCACTTTGAAGGACTTCTGTCAAAGCGGCACAAAAGCGGCGGCGCCGTATCTCGTGGCGACGGCGATCGACTTGCCGCCCGCCTATAGGCCGCCTGGGACCGCGCCGAGGACCGCGTTGAGGACCACGCCGAGGACCACGTTGAGGATATACGCCAAGGACTGCACCGAGGACCGCGTTGAGAATGGACCACGTCGACGATGACCTCGAGGACCGCGTTGAGGATGACGCCGAGGATCGCGTTGAGGACCGCGCCGAGGACCGCGTTGAGGATAACGCCGAGGACCGCTCCGAAGACCGCGTTGAGAATGGACCTCGTCGACGATGACCTCGAGGACTGCGTTGAGGATGACGCCGAGGATCGCGATGAGGACCGCGCCGAGGACCACGTTGAGGATAACGCCGAGGACCGCTCCGAAGACCGCGTTGAGAATGGACCACGTCGACGATGACCTCGAGGACCTCGTTGAGGATGACGCCGAGGATCGCGATGAGGACCGCGCCGAGGACCGCGCCATGGATCACGCCGAGGACCACGCCGAAGACCGCGCCAAGGCCGCGCACGTCCTTCCCGAGGAAGGGATTCATCATGGTGGCGGGCGGGGGCACGTCACCGCGGCCCCACGGCTCGCCGCCTGTCTGGCTGGACCGATTCAGAAAGCCTGAAAGCGCGGCCTTGGACGGCCGAAAGCCGCAAGCCCCGCTACTGTGCTACAGTGTACTCTGTCGTCCGCCCGGTTTATTGGCTGAGCCAAACTTTATCTTTATCTTTATCTTATACGTTAACTGGGCGAAGCCCTGCATTCAGCCCACAGCCCAGAGCCCAGTGGAGATGCCGGGACTTGGCGGGACCCAGCCGGTTGTCAAGTTTACTTTCGATCTTTAGGCGTGTTAAAACCACGAAAGTAGCATAAAATGTATATGCATGGAAAGGGAAAAGTTCAAAGATTACATTGACGCTAATTTGGACGAAAATAAACTCTTAATGTGAGAATGAGAAGACGACGGGCGTGAAATGGCGAAGGCGAGAGAAGGCGAAAACGATCGTCGGGCCGTCGTTTACTCGCATCTTTGAGCATGTTAGAACGCCGAAAGTGGCACAAATTGTATATTTATGGAAAGAGGAAGGTTCAAAGATTACATTGACGCTAATTTCTGTGAAATTTAACTCTTTATGTGAAAATGAGAAGACGACGGAGGTGAAATGGCGAAGGCGAGAGAAGGCGAAAACGATCGTCGGGTCGTCGTTTACTCGCATCTTTGAGCATGTTAGAACGCCGAAAGTGGCACAAATTGTATATTTATGGAAAGAGGAAGGTTCAAAGATTACATTGACGCTAATTTCCGTGAAATTGAACTCTTTATGTGAAAATGAGAAGACGACGGAGGTGAAATGGCGAAGGCGAGAGAAGGCGGAAACGATCGTCGGGCCGTCGTTTACTCGCATCTTTGAGCATGTTAGAACGCCGAAAGTGGCACAAATTGTATATTTATGGAAAGAGGAAGGTTCAAAGATTACGTTGACGCTAATTTCCGTGAAATTGAACTCTTTATGTGAAAATGAGAAGACGACGGGCGTGAAATGGTGAAGGCGAGAGCGCACTAGCTGAACTGTCAATAGCATGATCCTGCCAATAGTGAAGCGCAGAGTCGTTCGAGCAGAAAGCAGCAGAAAGCAGAATTCGAAAAAATAATAACATTCTATCAGATAACTTGACACTTTAAATGTACTAATGATTGTTCGTTCACCATAATCGTAACGTGGAATCGAAGGAAATGAGTACATGAAACCTGCATTCTATTGACACATCTCACCGTTCATAATCTTAATGATGGAATAATATTTTTCCAAATTTGATTGGTTATGCATTCAAAGTAGTTTCTGTAAAACGATTGAAATTTATTATCATGCGTTTTATCAAACATCTAACACTGGCACATGTATCACAGTGCCTTGTGTTTTTCTTGTAGACTAATATTCACTTCACAAAAGTTTATGATGCGAAGCGATAGATCAAACGAAATTAAAGACCTTATTCTCTGCGGTCATCCAAAAATATAAAAAGAGACAAGGAGAATCTTCAGGGGAATATATGGCCCTTGCCACTTTCTCTTGTTGGTGGATGTAAATTGTGAGCGCTTAAAGGCGTTCTGTGGGCAAAGGCGTTCTGTTGGGGTAGGCGTTCTGCCTGCCTAGGGGGATGTTATGTGTTAGGTGGCCTTTGCCACTTGTTCTTAAAATTACACATAAACTGTTGGTGCGCAGTTGTGTGGGTTGCACAAAGGCAACTAGAAAAAGAACAAACAGCTACAATCTTTCTGATAAAGAACTTGATACCTTTAAATGCAACCAATGACATTCCTTAGCTTTTATTTGTAATGTGAAACTGATGGAAACATAATCATGACATCTGTATTTTATTGACTTATATGCAATCAAAGAAGTTTCTGTTAAGGTTATTGTAAAGTGAAAAAAGTGACTATTTAATATTTTTTATTTACTTGTGTCAAATGTCTTAATTTATGGATAAAAGTTCCTTTCTATTGCATAAAGTCATACACTAAGAGCAGGGCCCCACTTCATTTTAGTTTCCGAGTTATGGATGTTTACGGTAACTTTCAGTCGTTTCTCTCAAATTCTCCTCACGACAAAGGATTAGCTACCCAGTCCCCAGATTCTAGCAATTGTATTCTTCTTTGCCTAGGAAAAAGATAGCGTTGCCCTTTTTTCAATATGTCACTTAGTTTTCTTGAAAATTCCAAGACCAAAATAAGACAAAATCTCTCAAATTTGAAGAAAGATAAAAATGGGCCTGGTGAAATAGCTTTTACAGCCTCTTCCAGACTGATATTTTCAAATTTGCCCACGCTATCTTTTTCCAGTGCAATAATAGATATACTTGTCCGAATCTGAAGACTGGGTAGCAAATCATTTGTCATGAGGAGAATTTGGGAGAAACGACTAAAAGTTAACGTAAACATCCATAACTCAGAAACTAATAGGAGTTGGGGCTCCCAACTTCAGAAGTAAATTCACCTAGTAGTGGTTGAATTTTGACCTCAAAATGAACTTTCTGTGACAAATACTTTTAGGACATTCTAGTTTCACTTGACAGTATCCTTAATCTAGAGATGTTAGGTGGCCTTTGCAGTACAAGGTCATAAAATAAATAAATGTACAGAGCTAAAATCCTAGCGGCACGGGGTATCGCCGCACGCTTCACGAGGCATGATGGGTTGCCTACCCACTGGGCTGATTCCTGTTCCAGCCGAGCCCACCTAGCGTCAAAGACATCAATGATCGTCACAGACCCACTTTCCGGAACACAATAGAATTTTTTCAACCTGGATACGGTGCGACATCATAGTAAAAATGACAGCACTGTTAAAATAATCCAGAAAACATCCTTAATAAATTAAACAAATGCTTAAAAATTGTCACTTACTTAGCGACATAGAGGAAAATTTGAAAAATAAATTACAAATATGTGAACGTAGGAGCCCTTAGGCTCAGCCTGAAGCGGTAGCTTTTCCTAGTTATTCCGTTTCATTGGTGGACTCCAGCTCCAGCGCCGCGCGGCCGGAGAACACACACTGGACGGACGGTACCACCGTGTGTTTTTCATCCGAGCGAGGAGCAAGGATTTCGCTCGGCCAGGCCACGGCCAGGCCACGGCCGGGCTTCGCGCTTCGCCAGAGCAAACAAAGCGACGCCGAGCGAAAAGCGAAATCAGAGCCCCGGTGGCGGCGAGGCGCGGCACGGCGTGGCACGGCGCGGCACGGCGCGGCACGGCGCGGCACGGCACGGCGAGGGGACTCCGGACAGGCTTTGCCGGGCTTTGCCGTGTGGAATTGAGTTTAAAGAGGGACTGAGACAACATGCGAGCTGGCGGCCTCGCGCGGACTCGACTCGGCTCCGCATGCGCCGCGCACCGCGCGCGTTTAGTCCCTTTGCGAGCCCTGCGGGAGTCGTCGGGGAGTCGTCGGGGCCCTTTGCGCCCTTCGGGCAGTCCCTTGCGCCCTTTGCGCGTCCACCGGCCGCAGACGGGCTCGCTGAGTCGCTCTGTCCCCGTTCCGCTCATGGGGCGGGCCGTGTGTGTGCGAGAGAGACTGCCCCTCCTCGGAACCGCTCTGCTGGTATAATGGCAGGCCCCGTCTCGTCTCGTCCTTGCCCGCGGCGTTCGGGGCCGCCGGGCCGCCGGGCCGCCGCCACTACTGAATAAAATAGACCTTGGCGGCGGCGGGCCCTGGGCGGGCCCTGGGCGGCGGACAGTCGAATCATAGCGCTTTCGTTCTCCTTTCGACCGGAGAGCCCCGGGCCGGGCCGATCCTCGCCCCCTCCCCCTCTAGCGCTTTACCCAGCCGCGCAGCGCGGCAGCGACGCGCAATACGACGTACTGTGTTGGTTTAAAAGTTTCCCCTCCAAACTAATCAAAGAAATGCTTCCCCGCGGAGGAATATCGGGCTGCTCGACGCGACGCGAAGCGCGAAGCACGCCCAGCGACCGCCGCGGCGAATCTCATTACGCCGGCAAAATACAAACGTGGCGAGTCACAGTGGGCCAGAAGGCCGGCGGCCAAAAAAACTCTCGACGCGTTTTTGAGCTCCAGAGTCGCTAAATAGCACTCAAACCGAGCGTGTGACCCCACCAATGGATTCCTCGTTCGGAGAGCAATCCATTGGTGGGGTCACACGTCCGGTTCGAACCCCATTGGTAGCACTGCGTTGTGCTTCATCCTGACCTCCACCACCCTCCCCGCAGGCTTCGCCTTCTCCAACGTGGAGGCCGCGGCGGACTTCGAGGAGCAGCGCGCGCGCTTCTTCTCGGAGCACGAGCGCTTCGACGACTACATGGAGATGCGCGAGGGCCTGGACCTGAGTGGCGTGCCGTGCTTCCGGGAGCTGGTCGTGGCGTACCGGGACCGGAAGCCCTGGTACTTCCGGCCCGCCGTCTTCTGGGCCGCCAGCCTGCTGCTGCTGTCCTGGCCGGTGCGGCTGCTGCAGGAGTACAACACGGCGCACGTGCACTACCAGGTAAGGGAGCCGTGCACAGTGAGAAGACTGGCGGGGGCGGTCAAAATCCCGGACGCGTTTTGAGCTCCAAAGTCGCTAAATTGAGGCTGCCAGCACAGGTCTTCTCCATCCGTGTGATTTTGCCTCAGGTGACGAAGCTGTTCGGCGGCAACTACGACGGCGGCGTCCCCGTGCCGGGCGGGGGCGGCGGGGGCGCGGCCACCGCCACGGACTGGCTGGGCGGCCGCCTGTCGCACGGCTCCACGATGGACTCGGGCGAGTGGGACTCGTGCATCCGGGAGAACTGCGCCCTCATCCCCAGCTACTCCGAGGCCCTGCTCATGGACGAGGGCGGCGTGGACGGCGACGCGGCGGACGACGCGGACGAGCAGCGGTCGCTGGTGAGTCTGCAGACCGATTCCGAGGGTCGTTTTCATCTCCCTGTCTCTCTCGCTCGTACACGGACCGCACATGAGTGCGAGAGACAGAGCGATGGAACCGACTCTGCGGCTGCTGCAACGCGGCCCGCTTTGCACGCAGAGGGAATGCGTGCGTGGTTCGATCCCGGCCAGGGCCTGGGCCAGGCCCTGCCGACGCCGACCATTCCGACGGATTTATGTCCGAGGCCGAGCGGGGCGCGCGGGCCGTTGCGGATTTGATGGCGTGTGACGGATTGCCGATCATATTGCGCCGTTTTATTGCCTCCAGGTGAACGCAAGGGACGCCGACGACGAGGGGGAGAGGGCCGCCAGGGCCGCCAGGCCGGGCGACAGCGCTGCCGACCCCAGCCTCGCCGCCGGCCACGCCTCGGGCCTGGGGCTCGCCGTGGTCCCGGGGGCCGCGGGGGCGCAGGTCGGCCGAGATAATCTGGTAAGAGTGCCGCGCGGACCGCGCCAGTGAACAGCCTAATCCAGTTCGCGCGCAGCCCGCCTCGCCGGCGCCCCGCCAGAGGGCGCAAGCAGCGCCGAGCGCCCGCCGGCGATACCCCGCGCGGACGCACGACGCTACCCCGACGCCCTACCGGCGACTATACTCCCTGCTGGTGGCGCACAGTGGACCAGAAGACCGGCATCGGCGGCCAAAACTCTCGACGCGTTTTGAGCTCCAGAAGTCGTTAAACAAGACTCGAACCACTTGTTCTTGTGCGAGCCCACCAACGGATTCCTCGATCGGAGAGCAATCCATTGGTGGGGTCACACGTTCGGTTCGAGTCGCACTTAGCGACTCTGGCGAGCTCAAAACGCGTCCGGGACTATGGCCGCCTCCACCGGTCGTCTGGCCCACTGTGTGACGGTTCGCTCCTCGCAGGGGCGGATGAAGCGGCGGTCCTGGGGCTGCCTGCTCAGATCCGTGGCCTCCATGGGCTCGGTGGGCACCATGACGTCGCTGGGCTCCAGCCAGACCGTGGACCTGGACGAGAGCGTGCCGCAGCAGCTGTACTACCCCAGCCCGCTGGCCGAACGGAGTCCCGGAGACCCATTCCAGGTAAGGCAACACCACAAAAGTTGTGATCGGTGACATGTGCCACCACCGTGCTCGTGCTAACCAGGAGCGGCTGGGATGGAGAAAACGCAGACAGTTGTTTCTAGCACGGGTCAACATGACTACGACATCTTTGTGCCCAGGGTCGCAGCACTGAAATCCCCACCCGGGGCCCGCAGCAGCCGCCGCCGACGTACGAGGAGGCGCTGGAGACGACGGTGCGCCTGGTGTGCGCGCCGGGGGCGGCGGGGGCCGCGGACGTGCCCCTGCTGTCCAGGCTCAGGCGCTCCCTGACGGACCGCGGCGACGCCTTCCGCGCCGGCCGGTCCTCCTGGGCGGCCACGGCGTCCTGGGGCGTGCTCGGCGACGCGGACACGCCGCGACGCTGCTCCGAGACGCCGCCGCCGTCGAGCCGCGCCACTGGGCCGTGCATCAACATGGAGACCAGCTTGTAGGCGCGCCGCGCGCACAAATTGTGATCGCCGAATGGAACGCGCCGCCCGCCGCGTTCTGTGGATCTACTCTGTGATTTTTTTATGGTGGCGGGGCGACGCGACGCCGAGCGAAGCCGGTCGTCGAACGTCCGTACTTGGTTGGTGCTCAGCCTCACTACCCTAGCCGTCCTCTGAGACCCACGACGACGCCGTGCTCGAGCCCCGTGGCGTGGTGGCGGTCGCTCCCCGAACGCTCACGCGCGCTCTGGCAATGGAAAGCTTCCTGACTTGCATTTTTCGAAGGGGGGTTTAAAGGCCGTCCAAGCCGCTGTTTAGGGGTCAAGTCAATTTTCAGAGTGCAATGCAGTTGCAATGAAGAGTTTTCCTCCAAAGGAAACGTTTGTTTCGCTGTCATGTTGCCCAAAGTATAGACTAATATAACTTAACTTTTTCACGTAAAGAAACTTTTATGACTGCTTTAGGTCGGACACAACGCCAAAATATTAGCACAAACTTGTCAGTGTCCAATTTTATTTAGTTAATGTCTGTTAAACATATCTTGTATGAAAAAAGTCCCTCTGTTGAAGTGTCCAGCTTCCATGATTTTTGCAAAGAGGAACCATTCAATGTGCACATTTTAAGGGATTTAAAAACCAAAGTTGTGGTAACGCCATTAAATAAACAAGTTTTGTGTAGGTGAACGTGTTATGCAGTCCCCTGATTCCCATTTCACTATCCGATCGACACGCAAAGGAAAACAAAATAACAACATAGATTTGGTGGATCTCACTTCATTTATTTATTCAATTGTACAGTCTGAATGAGAGAAAATGTGAACTTAAGAACCCGGCATCTTGAATGAAATCCATTTCAATTTTTTGGCATTGTTTAACAAAGTAAGCAAAATAATAATTTCATCGTTTCATGTTTCATATAAAAGTGGTCAAATTTTTTACGGTGTGGATGCTACCCCTTCTTGGGAGGCAAACAAACATTTTGAATCCACCTCAGAAAAAAAATGAAAAAAGTCCGCGCCCAAAAGGCGTTTGGAATAATATGGCCAGGGTGGTCTGCTCGTGGCCATGACTTCACACTCTAAATGTCTCACAATGAAATTCAAGCCATGCTACAGAGAATTCGGTGCAGGCGTAATACGAAGCAAAAGTTCTCCATAACACGAATCTTTTCTGGGACTTTCTTTGTAAGATACAAAGAAAAAATTTCGTGATACGAAGAAAAACATCGCTTGTACTATGCTTACGCCATTTCCTTCGTATTATGGGAGACCTCATCGAAAGTCATTTAGAGTGCAGCAGTCCCGCGGAAGGGACTAAAGGAGGCTACGCCTCGCTTGTCACCATCCTGGGCATGGTGCAGTCGTGAAGTAATGGGTGTCGCGATAGAGAGAGAGACAGAGAAAGAGAGAGAGAGACATGGATAGACAGATAAGAAAGGAGACGGAGGAAATAGACGACAGAGATGAAGGACAGAGAGAGAAGGAGAGCTTCGAAAGAGAGCGTTCGTATACATTGGCGGGCGGGTGTGACAGAGATGGAGAAGAACCCCCTTCCCCGAGCTAGTAAAGAAAGACGTCTACAGTCAGTCGATGTATTCTCGAAAACACTAGGCCATCAACATGCTAAAACAGGTCTTCGCCTGCTATCGTTACATTTCTCGTGCTATCGTTTGTCTGCAGAGGGCTACCCCATCAGGGTCATTGTCGCAGAGGTCCGGACGGACCACGCTCGACTGCTGCAAGAAGAAAGTTTGACCGAAAAAGAACCAAAAAAACGTTTCGCTGTTTCATCTTTTTTTACGAAAATGAAATAAGTGGTCGGGTACACAGAGTAGGGGGTCACGTGGACACACACTGCCCCTGAGGGGTCATGTTCGGATCGGGGGGCCCGAGGGGGGCCGCGGACGAGACGCAGGGCTTCTCGGGGTTGTTCCTCGCGCGATGGCTCGGACTCGCTGGACGCTTCCGGGAGCAGGTCAAGATCGGCGGCACGCTCATGCTCCTCACACCCGCGCTCCAAGGTGGACGAGGAGGGCGTCAGACTCGCTTACCAGTAGGTGAGGTAACCTGGACACAGAGCATGCCGTCAGCGCGGACCCTTGGCGCCGACGCGACCCAACGAAACACTCACGAACAAGTCAAACAAGTGAAAATGACGTCAATGAGGCCGTTAAAATGACTTTTTTTGGTCGAAATTTTGATTGAAAGCAGCCATATTGACATCAAATGACGTCACGGTGAGCGTTTCGTGTTCTTGGGGAGCGGCGTCATACACTGGTAAAACTGAACCGTGGCTGTGCGCTTCATGCAAGCATGCAACTACGCTTGAAGACACACTTAAAGTCAAGCTTAGAGAAGGAATTCTCCCGTGCATAGGCGGAATAGGAGCGGAACGGAGTAACTATGCTTGAGGCCAAGTGTAGCGACCACTACGCTCGAAGAAGGGCGTCCAAGGACGCATCAGTTTCACCAGTGTACCGAACGACACACAACATGCCCGTGCTACATACCCAGGGGCCTGCGGGGGTGCCTGTCCCACAGGTAGGAGCTCTTGATGGGGGACAGGTAGGACGTCCTCAGGTAGGAGGGTGAGTGCCACGAGCGGTAGTGGTAGGGGTAGGCGTACGGCCTCAGCTCGGGGTACTCCCACCACCAGGGGTCCCTGGTGATGGCGGACTTGGGCATGAGGGGCGACGGCTCCAGCAGCTCACGCAGCGGACGCCGGGTGTAGCCGCCGCGGTTCCAGATGGGCTGGCCTGCATGCCGCGTGCAAAACAACGTTCAAGACAACATCCTGGGGGGGTTTCGCACGTGGATCGGACAAGGGGAGACGATGTGAACGTGAAAGTGCAGGAGGAAAAGGGTGCATGACTTTGTGCATGTAAACACGACCAACACGTGCATCGAATTTGAAAAGAACGAACCTAAGAGGGTACGCTCTTCTGGAATTCGTGCTGGAATAGACGGAAACAAAGGAGAAAAGTCCGGTTAAAATTTCTGACCACTCCTATCATTTTTAATACTAATTATTTTTTTGCTTTCAATTTTGTAATGCTTGTAGTGGGCGATGATTTTCCTCGCCATTGTACCGCCGACAGTTAAATTGAATTATTGAATTAGATCGAGTTCAAATCTATTCAATTCCAATGTTTTGAATTGAATTTTATGCAGAGCATGACTCACCTGCGTAAGTGAAGCGGGGCGCCACCTCGGAGGGCTGTGGGGGAGGCGTCCAGGAGCGCACAGGCGGTGGCGGTGTGGTGGACCTGAAGGGGGAGGACGAGCGGGCGCGGGCCGAGCCCAGCGGGGGCACGCTGCCGCCGCGGAGCGTCCTGGCCGCGGGCCTGTACTGGAACAGGGGGATGTACCGGTCCGGGAACAGCTTGTCGATCTCGTCCAGGCGCTTCTGCTGCGCGTCCCACGCATCCTGGCCGTGGTACACGCCGTCCGATGGACCTGCGCAACAGGGGAGCCGTCAGTCACACCGCCTTCCTCCGTTTTCACTTGCAGTGCATTGACTGTAAACGGATGTCATGGACGATCTCAGTACGTCCTTCAAGACGTTTTTTTTTGAAAAATAATATTACAGGTAATAAAGATGATTATAGCTATTATTTAACAATATTGGAGTGGTAGGTTGAACTGAGCGTCACAATTTTTTTTATAAACAGTTGTATACAGTCGTGAACAGTTGTTAGCAACGGAAAAGTTATAAGGGACAAAGTATAGTAGTAGGGAAGAGTCTGACAAAAATATGAAGTCGGGATGAAAAAAACTACGACATGGTTTTTTTCCTGACACTGCAGGTTTTCGCCTGGCGTGGCGCGAGACTCACACAAAATTCACAAACGCATCTAAATTTCACTACGGTATGTCTGCCGTTTGTTACAGCGTGCACTGTTATTGTGACGAAGCTGGTGCCACACTGGTCCAAGAGAAAATGCAAGAAACACCTAATTATATTTGATTACTGTGCCGAAGCCAGTATCACTGTGCTGGTAAAACTTTGACGAACACCACACGTATCTACACACTAGGTAAAAGTGCATACAGAGGAAAGGCAGTTGTTTCTGTTGATTATATTTTTGTTGGATTTTATGACGTATTTGGAGCAGGTCTTTCTTTTTTTCACATAGTTCTGCAAACATCCAATTCCTGTCGAGGCATGAACAGGCATGCAAGAACTTGAGATTTCCCCCGTTTTGCGTACTAAATATTCTACAAGGCTGATTTAGTAAGACAACGCAAGAAGCACACGAAACATGCGGGCGGACAGGAGCAACCTTACCAGGCATCGAAACAGCAGTTTTCCTCCAAACTGGGTCAGGCAGCAGCTGGGCAAGCAGGGTGGCAAAAACCTTCGGATGTCATCAACACTCCCACGTTGCATTCCACAGTAAAGGCTTTTCTAGCACGTCTCATGACATGGCAACACAGGAGAAGTGGGCAAGAGATTTGGGTGCACCTGGCAGGTAGGCAACAGCCGATAATGTTACCTGATTTGTGGAATGGGATTCCACAATGACATGTTATTCCGTCAAGAGAAGGATTCTATTGTTTGATGAGTAGCTGCGAAGTAAACAGCATAATGTTGCAACTACGTAGTATTTGCCTAAGCATGTTACGTAAAGTTGTTTCAGTGATTATTTTTTCTTTTTCGAATTCTGTTTGTCAATTTATCTTTTGACAACGTTCAACGGTCAACTTTTTCTTCCGTTGACAATGGTAGGGGTGTTGTCTACGGGGAGCTTCAAGCATCCCCAGCCCTATGACAAGGCAGCTCCACTACAAAACATTTCGTTCTCTTTGGCTGGAGTCAGATACACAGTGCGCTAGATTGCATTAAGTCCAGGCAACGCCATGTTACTACACAATTCAGCCTAACAAACTGTCTCCACACCTCGGCAGCACTAGCCGTGAAGGCCGCATTAGGTAGCCAGAGAGCTGCTCGGACGCACAAGAAGCACATTATGCAAGCGAACACACTGAGAATAAAAATCATTATAACAAACTGTCCAACTTTGAAACGGTTCCAAAAGTATACCCAAATGTAAAACTGCAAAATTTAGGTCAGTTAATTCAGATTGAAGCTTTAAGTCATTTGGACTTCCAGCACACAAATTAAGATAAATTTAAGGCTCGGTTAACGAGAAGAAAAGTGTCCAACAATTTCAACCTATAGCTCCAGCTGCCAGACGAAGTAGTCTAAGACGGAAAGTTACAATTGAAGAAACTTCATTGCACATCCGTGCTAGTTTCGTGTGAGGCACGACAGTAAAACATTCAAATACGGCAAAACAATGGCAAGCCATCCAAAATAAATTTGGAAAACGGGGAAGAAAAGGATGTCAAAAATGCTATGAAGAGTGCAAAAACTGGAATAGGTGTTGGTGTGGTGGGAAGGGGAGTTAGTCGTCGATGGGAAAAGGGATTACCTCTGTCAAAAGTTGGAATTGAAATCAAAGTCCATGCAAAGTGCCGTTTGACGTTGCATTGACCCTCTATCCCATTAATATAGTTTTTTCTTCAAATTGTCTTTACTCATCGAAGCAAATGAATGATACTGTAAAAAAGTTTTCTCATCCAACGTTTGACCGAGATGGAAATCGTAAATAAAGATATAAAACCGATCTTTGAGGCCAAGCTTTAATGACCATCACAATCACATTCCCTAGATCGTACATGGACCAAAATTATCCAAGTAATAAACAGATAAGTACAATGAGAAGGCCTGTTGTATATACAAACGAAACGTAAAATAATATAATCGTTAGGAGAAGGAAAACAGCTAAGATCTAAGTGTCATAGTACTTTTACTAAACATAAACAAAAAATAGGAATAAGTTAAAGAATGTTCACATCAAAATGGCCCTTCTTTTTTCTCGTTTTTATTTTTCTGTCTGCTTCCGATACACGCCGTATATCAAAAGGAAACAGAGTTTTTATCATTTTCTTTCGATATCCCCAACCATAAACTTAACATACAAAGTTCAAAATAGCACATGGTTCAAAATTCACGATAGCCCAGTCCGAAAGAAAAAATTTAGTCAATAATCTCGGGAACGTTAAAATACCAAAATCAAGGGCGAGTTCACCTGGCAACAGCAGCAGGATGACAATTTTTTCGTTTCAAATTTCAAAAACATTTCAGTCCAGTTTTTTTTTCTAAAGAAGAAAAATTAATAGAAAGATAGTGAGGGTGAGTGCATACGGCCAAAACCACACACCGATTATGTACAAGTGTGAGTCGCGGCTGACTGGGCGGAGGATGGAGGCGGTTCAGGCTCCGTGGCGACGGCCTGCCGCCACACACTCGCGCGAACCGCCCCCATTCTCTGCCCCACTTTCCCCCGAAATAAAAGTTTTTTTAAAATAAAGATCACGCGGCACGGCGCGGAGCGACCCCGCTCGCGATTCGTGTACGGTTCAGTCTAGCGCCGGGCCGAGCCGGGCCGTGGCGGGGCGTGGCGGGGCGGCGCCCCCCGGAGCGCTGCGGTGTGGTGGCGGGGCCGGGGTGCCCCCCTGGGGTCCCTGGGGTGGCCCGCTGGGGGGCGTCGCGCAGTGGAGTCGCAGGCCTCTCAGTACGTACCGGTCCTGTATCGGTCGTAGTAGGACGGCGGGTAGATGTTGCGGGGGCTGATGCCGTAGGTCTCCCTGCTGACGGGCACGTATCGGTAGCCGGGCACGTGGATGCGCTCGTTGGCGGCGGTGGGGTCGTCGTAGATGGACTTGTAGGGCCAGGTGTTGGTGTGCAGGTCGGGCAGCTCCGAGATCAGGGGGCGGAAGACGCCTCGTGGCCTGATGTGCACGGGGTCGGGGGCGCGCATGTCGTCTGTTCCTGTGGGCAGCAAGAGGGAGCACGTCAAGAAGGGGTTCGGGCAGCACGGCGCAAGGCACGGCGGACACTCCGGTGTGCAGCAGTCGGGGGCAGTCCAGGCAACGTCCTTACTCGCGGAAAAGGATAGCAAGTGCAAGGAGCCGGGTGTTCGCTTCGGGCAAACGCACAAAACCACCTTTCCTTGGAGACATTCCATTGCAAGAGGCTTGAAAACGGGGTCTTGGGGGGCACTTCCCCGGGACAGCCTTGCAAAGGGCGAAAACAAACATCTGGGAAGATCCTGCATGATGCTCTCCTCGCCATGCTTGCCTGACTGGCTTGCCCCTCACCGTGTAATTCCTTAAGCCATTGCCCGTAGGTCTGGGTGTCCGGCAGCCGCTCTCCAGACGACGCTACAACAAGCACAATGTACTAGCACCGGCGCTCTTGCAGCTCGGCCGGGCACTTGCCAGTCTCTCTCTCACACACACACACTCAGCACATTCAGGAACCACGCACAGCACTCGTTTGAAACAATATGAAATGGAGGTTCGTAGGGAACTGGAATGGTGACAAGAATACTAAGCTAGTGACACGTTTTGACAATCTACGGTAGAAAACGATGAGGCCTAAGTCTGTGCCTAATTTGCATAGGCGGCACCAGGCTTGTTAGGGAGGGGCGAAGAATCTACAGGGCAAGCCGCCTGGGCGGCGACACTATTTGCCCCTACCCGGCGACTTTCTGAGTCTGAAATATTAAAGAAAGCACAGTTCAGGTTAGTCGTGGTCACACAGCGCCTACATCACTATCCGCTCGACGTCTTTCATCAGTTAGTCATTATTATTGTATTTTCGAAAACAAACGGGCTGGGAATAAGTGGAGAAGGTCCTGCCGATGGGTCTGCCTCCGGGACAGCCTTCCTACTGGGCGTCTTTGAGCAGCCAGGGTGGGAAAGACGGTCGCGGGAGGCACTCGCCATGTGGGCAGGACTTCGAACCACCAACCCCGCCGTGGTTACGCCGGAACTCTGTTCTACTTGAAAACAATGTTAAATGATACGCTTGGCGGCTCGGCTGGCGCGCTGGCGCGCCGAAGGAATCCTTACCTTTTAGTGAACGGACGTAGGATTGCCAGAACTTGGCCTTCCTCTGGATCGGCTCGTTGCGGCCAATCATGTCCAAGTGGTTCTTGAACATTTTGGTGTGTGGTTTAGATCGGGAGGATCAAAAATCTGGGCAGAGCACAGGCTCTACCGTCTGGAACACAAGAAAAGAAGAGCCTAATTACATTCGGCTGCCTCCAAACGCACGCCAAACGCGAATGAATCCATTGGACACACTATTCCGTGCGCACATTTTCAAGATGGGTCACTGTCGAGGGGTGACGACTGCGATGCCATTGGTACGTTTGTTTGCCACTCCAGTGGCGCTCCGTTTAGAATGCCAACACTTGGCCTTCTGGGCCCGGATCACCCTCTGAGAATACCAGACGTTGGCACTTCGGCCCGAGAAATTTTGGCGACTGGAGGGTCAAATTTTGGCACTCTAAACCGAGCGCCACTGGAGAGGCAATGGGACATACAGCCATGGAAAACTGTGGACAAGTGGTTCCTTTCGCAGAGTCCTCGCGCGGTGCAGCAGAGGTCCTTGCCCGCCTCGGTGGCCCCACCCCACGGTCGTTGACATTTTCGGGCGCGCGAAGAGGACGCGGTATTAGTAACGTAAAAATAAAGCGTGCGTTTTATGGCGCGGGGGAAGGCCGGCACGGCACTGTGAAGATTGGCGACGGAAATAGCGCGGGGTGACTTGGCGCCGCACAGACTGTCTCTCTCGCACTCATGGGGCGTCCGGTACAGGCGCGAGAGAGACAGAGCGACGAGAACGACTCTCGGAATATCAGTGCGCGCAAGCATTACTCGCGGGTATAAAAAGAACGGGGAAAAAAGTTTTGGGACGCGGGTATTCGAACCCGGGCTTGGGACAGGTGGCGGCCCGGTGGCGGCTCAAGGTGAGGCGCCGCACTGGATTTGGCGTGACGAAGGTCGGAGCAGTCTCGGAGTCGGGGAGTCTGGGTCAGCGCGCTGCGGCGGGGGGAGTGGAGCCACCAATTTGGGAGGCGGCCAAAACACACGCAAAATTCGAGCGGCCCGAACATGTAACGCCGCGGCCCCGCGCGGAGCCCCGACAGTGGGCCCATTCCGAGAGTCGTCGCTCTGTCTCTCTCGCGCCTGTAGCGGACGCCCCGTGAGTGCGAGAGAGGCTGCAGGACGGGGAGGGTGACAGGTGTGGTGAGGCATCGCCGCGGCGGCCTCCGCGGCCTCGCCAACGCCCACCTGGTTGGGGAAGGGAGCGCGGTGCCGCCTGTGCGGTGGCGCGGTGAAGCTGGGACAAGGTCTGGAACGTCCTGAAATACACCCGCCTGGTTCGCGCCGCGTCAAGTGCAGGGGGAGGGGGAGGGGGCACAGCTCGTTGCAGGGCTGCTGCAGTGGCGGCGGTAACAGAGACGCAACTTGGCGGGGTGCCCGGCGCGGCGCCCGGCGCGGTCCGCAGACTGATTCCGAGAGTCCTGTTCGTCGCGCTGTCCCTCTCGCACTCGTGGGGTGTTCCTTGCAGGTGCGAGAGAGACAGAGCGACGTGCCGGCCGGACAGCCGGGCGGTGCACGCCCACGGCTACTCCACTGCCACTCGCCCTCCTTCGCGCCCCGCTTGACTGCGGGGCCTGCCTTCGAGTCTTGCGTAACGGGGAGGTGTGGCGACCGAGCGGGGCGGCCGCTGCTTTCAACGCCATTTGGAGACGACGCGAGTTCCTAAGCGTCACCTTTCCCATACTATCGTCATTTGCACGGTGGAACCCTCTCCTGTGAATGAACCTATATTGAATCCCTGGAGATATGTCGCCACCCCCCTTTGGTTGTTTTCTCAACTCTTTACAGGTTCTTTTTTGTGATTTGCGAGGAGCTTTTATGACAGCCGCTAGAGTAGTGGCCCTAACACTATCTCTAGTGCCTCAGGCAGCTCTCCAACTGCCCCCACCCTACCCCACATGGCTACTCCTGGCGCCCCCACCACCCCGATCCACCCCCTCCCCGCCGATGCTACGCTATGACGGTGCCATCAGAAATAGTAGCGAGCTCGACAATGGCGATACCCCCTGCCTCGCCCCGCCCCGCCCCGCCCCGCCCCGCCAGGCCAACTAAGGGGCGGCACTGCCACACCCCACTGGGCGCACGTCAGAGCTCATCTGACACTTCCAAAGTCGTTGAACGTCGTCGTAAATCGAACACTTTCCTACGCTTTCCTCGAAAGCTATTTACTTTCTATTTCATACTCCACCCCAAAGACCATTCGTCATGAACAATCCTTTGACCCACTTGGCTCTATCTTCACAGCCTTTTTCAAAGTAACTCCACATAGAGGAAAGTCACTCCTGAGCTGACTTTTGGTAGTGATGGCTGCGATGGCTGGCTGCTGACCACGTCCTCAGGCAGTCAGGAGGCAGTGATTTACTTACGAACCGCGAACCAGGCCGCCGCTTCAAGTCACTAATCCACTCACTGCACTGTCACTTGCTGCACTAGGTTCTTCTCTCACTGTGTGTCACGCACTAGTGTCCACTCCACTGGCAGGCCCGACCACTAAGTCCACTACAGCCTTGTTAGAAGGGGGTTCGGGGGTGGGGGATTGTTAGCGGCGTGGCGTCGGCGTAGATCCATTGGCGTCGGCTGTCTGTCTTCCCCTATACTCACCGTTCGATTATATCAAAACGAAGCACAACTTCCAACCGACCCGCAGTCCGCGTGTGAGTGCGGTCTGTAGGGTTCACCGCCTGTTGCACTACTGGCTCAGGCGGACGGCGTCCGCTGGGCGTCGCTCGGCGTCGCTCGCCGATCCGCGTTGCCGCCGCCCGCCGCCAGGGGGCTGCGCGGCGCTACCGTCGGAGACAAGGACGGGGCCCGCCGCGGGGGAGAGAGGGAGAGAGAGAGAGAGAGAGAGAGAGAGAGAGAGAGAGAGAGAGAGAGAGAGAGAAGAGAGAGAGAAGGAGGGAGGGAAGACAGAGACACACACACAAGGATGGACAGAGAGAGAGAGAGAGAGAGAGAGAGAGAGAGAGGGGGGGGGGGGTTGGGAAACGGGGAGGGACGGAATGAGGTAAATAGGCCGTCGTGTGGGAGGTCCGGAGAAAGTGGTGGGCGGTGGGAGCGGTCGCCAATGTCGAGAGGGAGCCTCGGCAACCTTAGCGGGCCGCGGGGGTCGTCGCGTCGAAGGGCCGTGCGCCAAAGTCACACTCCATTACTGGCGCCGCTGCAGACCGACTCCCAGAGTCGTTTTCGGCGCCCTGTCTCTCTCACACTCGTGGGGCGTCCCCTGCATGTGCGAGAGAGACCGAGCGACGAAGAAGAGCCTGCAGCGCGTCCCGATGACATGCCCGCTCAAACGGTACAGCGCGTGGGATGAGACGCCTCCACTGACTCACTCTCTCTCATTCGCGTCCGGCGCTTTAAACTGCTATCGTGTTTTGAACGTACGTCACTTCGTCCCCACGTGAATCAGGCCCCGTTCGGGCGCGGGCCTGGCCCATTCGCTTTGGATCGCAGACACTGCACGAACGTGATAAGATTCGCGCGTTTAAGCGATCGTGGACGTGACAGTCCTGGATCGATCCCCTCTTGTGCTTCTTTGTTGCTCTAGCGGCAGACTATACTTTGGCAAATTTTAGCGCCGCCCCCCCCCCTCAAAGGGAGGGCAATCTTTCCCGTTTCTTGATAACCTCTACTCCTCCTCCCCGTCACTGGTTGGCTGGTTGGTTTGTTCTCACGGCTGATTCCCACAAGACTGCTGCTGTAAATAGTGACGAAGGCGCGTCTGGCGGTGGCGGCTGGTCTGCGGCGGTCTCACAGTTTACTCGGTTTTCGAACACGCGGGCGAGGCTGGCCGCTGAGCCGAGCCGGTTTTCAAGTAAATGAAACCAAGGGCGGGCAGGAAACACGCAGCATCGCTCATTCTAACGTTACACCACAAGGTGTTGAGTGGCGCAACCTTGACCAAGGTCGCGCGCACACACGGACACTGACACAAAGCACTGACACAGACGCGCGCGCACACACACACACACCGCCCACACGTTGAGCGAGCCCGCCACGACCGCGGCCAGGTTTCCCAGTAGAGGCGCCCGGACTTGCGCGCGAGCACGCTGGTTGTGTATATTTGCCCTGGTGCGCAGCAGACGGTTCGCCGACGTCACGGTCAGCACAAATAGATACAAAAAGAAAGGAGGAAGAGCAGAAAACCACAGCCATGTGTAGCAGGGCCGCTGAATGGCCAACAGACCGGCCCACGCCCATCGGCTTGCCTTGGCTTGCCTTGGCGGGGAAGTGCGCCGTGCCGGCCGGTGCCAAAGGGGCCCGCTCGAAAGCGAGTAACTGTGGCGTGCGAATCCGGCCATGTGGGGCGATGGCGCACGCTGGCGCACGCTGGCGGCGGCCACGCGCCGAGCACGCCAAGAAGGGCCTCGTCGTGCACCCAGAAAAGTGCAGCTGTTGCGCCCGGTGCTGCGGGTACACGCGCCAAATCACGACAGTCACAACAACACTGGTTGGTGAAACGAAGGCATGGAAACCATACCCGTACGTTCGAAGCGCAAACGATTTACGCTCCTGAAACAGCGTGAATCCTTTCCTGAGCTTGCGAGGCTGGTGATTTGGTATAGGACTTTCAGGCAAAATTACAATGCCCTCGCCCTACTATCTATACCTGCAGGGTGTGGTTTCCCTTGTAGTGTACTGCTGCTCTAGAGAGTATCGCGAGGAGTATCGAGCTCAACAACAAGCAGATCGCTTTCGCGCCCTCGTCGCAAATAATTGGAAATAAATTAGACCACCGACTCAACTTTGATGGCCGCAGCCGGCCGCGCTGGCAGTGTGGCGGCCCACTGGTGGGTGCCAGCGGAAAAATGATTTGTCGTGGGACGCGGCGATCGGCCAGGGCGGCCAGGGCCGTGGGGGCATCGAATCGGATCGAATAGGCGGTGCCGCGATTGTGTTTATTCGTGTTGAAAGGCACCTTCAGCACACTGACTCCGAGAGTCGCTTTCGTCGCTCTGTCTCTCTCACACTCACGGGGCGTCCCGTGTGGGAGAGAGACAGCGACGACTCTCGGAGTCAGTCTGCGGGTCGCCTTCGGCCGGTCCGATGTCCCCGGGGGCCCCGGGCGTGGGCGAGGACGCACAGTGGGCTTGAAGGCCGGTGGGGGCGGACAAAAATCTAGACGCTTTTTGAGCTCTAGCGTCGCTGAACAAAACTTGAAACAAGCGTGTGACCCCACCAATGGATTCCCCGTTCGAAGAGCAATCAATGGGTGGGGTCACACTGAGAATCCAAACGCTATGAATATAGCGTCAATTGGTGCAATACAAAAGCATTGCACATGAAGTGCAATGCCTTCCCAATCCCATGCATTAGCATAGGGCCTTTTCGGGATGCATTGCACGTAAGGTGCAATACGGCTGAGGCATTGCACGTATGGTGCGATATCTCAGGTGCATTGCACCATACGTGCTATACTCATAGCGTTTGGAATTTCAGTGCACACGTTCGGTTCGAGTCCTGTTTAGCGGGTCTGCAGCTCAAAACGCGTCTAGAGTTTTGACCACCTGGACCGGTCTTCTGGCCCACTGTGAGACGCCAGGGGCGCTGAGGACGCTAAGGACGCCGAGGACGCCGAGGACGCCGAGGACGCCACGCCGAGCACCCTCCTCGAGGAGTGTGCAGTGGAGTGGATTTGGGCGGCCAAGCGCCTCAGAAATAAGTCGCGGCTCATGCCAACTTCACTGACCTGTCTGTTGGGGCTCCCTGTGGGCCCTGTGGGCCTTCATTGTGCCGCGTGGGAAAGTCGAGAGCGGCGGGGGTGGAAGGGGAAGGGGGTGACACTACAATAGACGCGCACCGGTCCAATTTAAAGTATGAGACAGGTCCGACATAACAGTACACCCCCGATCTAAATTAAGCCGTGCAAAGACAGCGCGCGCGTATCGTGAGTGTAGCAGGTCAATAATCACGGTTATTTTATTTTGGTGTTTACTATGTATACCAAAGAGTATAATTCAGAGCTGTACAGTAATTTTTCAGTGCGCTGGATATCCTTGACCGTGGGCTGGGCATGGCTATTTCACCAGCGGAAACGGGCGTCATGCTCGAGTGGCGGGGCGGCGGGGGCGGCCAGCAGACTGAATCCGAGAGTCGTCGCTCTGTCTCTCTCGCGCTCATGGGGCGCCCCGCAGGGACGCGAGAGAGACAGAGAGATGACTCTCGGATTCAGTCTGCAGGGCGACTCGAGACAGACAGCCGCGGGAGGAGACGCCTTTCACCTGGCCAAGCGCGAAGGGGACGCCAGTGTCGCGGCGATAATGAGCTATGACGTCACTCGAGCCACGCCCGTCACACACCCGCAATAGGAGGTCCTGCTGATTCTGCTCTCAAGAACCCAGAGGCAACCAACCAGTGCGGCGGGCCAGCCGTAGGCAAGGCCGTAGGCACAACACGAGTGCCGACAGGGCTGCCAACTTCAGCCTGCCTCCGAGGCAAAGTCTAGGCTTTGCTCCCGAGAAGTTGTCTTATCTGCGGTTGGCAACCCTCTATGGGCATTTTTTGTCGACAAGGTGGCAACAATGAAATACACCCAATGCCCGTGTACCAACAAGGTCGCATTTATTAAAAATAATAATAATTAAGGTAGTAATAAAATATTAATTAAAAAGCCGCTTTGTTATCACGGCGCGTTCTTTGGCGAGGCCCGCGGCGGGAGGGGCGGCGGCCTCAGGCGGCCTCAGCGACTCAGGGGCAGCTGTTGTCGCTGAAAATAGCGGCGCCGTGCAGAGCACGCGCGTGCGGCCGCGACGCAGCAGAGAGTCGTTCTCGTCGCTCTGTCTCTCTCGCACCTCCACACGCCTCTCGGAATCGGTCTGTCCGCGACGGACCCGCTGCACCTGCACGTCTATTTGCATCGCATTCCTCCGCGGATCCGATAAGCAGCAAGGCAGCGGCGTAGCACGGGTAGCCGGGGGTGTGGCCTGTCCAGTGGCGGGCCGGGGGTAGAAGTGAGACAGCCTCAGGAACTCTCTGCGTGTCAGAAGGAAACAGCGAGGAGGTTCTAAGATGGTGGAGCGTCGGAAGTTACTCGCCCTTCTCAACAGCAACATTCTCCTTCTAGAACAGTGGTTCTCAACCTTAGGGTCGCGACCCCAAGTGGGGTCGCGAAAAAATTTTAAGGGGTCGCGGCGAGGTAGCTGGGGTCGTGTTTTGGGCCGATTTTAAGCAGCCACTGCGTCTGATCCGAGGCGGGCATTTTGCTCCCTCAACCGGCAATTGGTCTTTGAACCTTCCTTTAGCATGCCTTTGTTACGGAGTGTGATTATCAGTCTTAGTTTGGGAGCAGTATTGTCTCAAAGTTGGCCGAAACGGTCAGAAATGTCTTTGAAAAATCGTGTTTTGGGCCTATTTTAAGCAGCCACTGCGTCTGACCCGAGGCGGTATTTCGTCCTCTTTCAACGGGCAATTGGTCTTTAGACCTTCTTTTAGCATGCCTTTGTTACGGAGTGTGATTATCAGTCTTAGTTTGGGAGCAGTATTGTCTCAAAGTTGGCCGAAACGCTCAGAAATGTCTTTGAAAAATCGTTGTGCCTGTTTTTGTCAACTTTGAGACAATACTGCTCCCAAACTAAGACTGATAATCGCATTCCGTAACAGAGGCATGCTAAAGGAAGGTCCAAAGAACAATTGCCCGTTGAGGGAGCAAAATGCCCGCCTCGGATCAGACGCAGTGGCTGCTTAAAATCGACCCAAAACATGATTTTTTAAAGACATTTCTGAGCGTTTTGGCCAACTTTGAGACAATACTGC